GGCTGAAGGACTGCTCTCAAGAAGCTGTTCACCGTTTCTCCTCCCGAATTCCTCAGGGAGCGAGAGGGTGAAGGATAGGCCATGATGCAGGTGGGGTCCCGTGGAGAGCGGCGCTGTGTGGGCTCCCACACGGCACTGCCAGCCAAGGGCCCCTGTGAGGACCACTGCTCCAGCTGCTGTCAGCAAGCCATGGGCCATTCTGCACCACGTCTTCCATGACTTCTTCAACTCTTTTTCATTTGAATATGAGGAAGAACTTCTTTACTTTGAGGGTGACAGAGCACTGGAACAGGCTGCCCAGGGGGCTTGTGGAGTCTCCTTCTCTGGAGATATTCAAAGCCCGCCTGGACGATGTCCTGTGCAACCTGCTCTAGGTGAACCTGCTTTAGCAGGGGGGTTGGACTGGATGATCTCTGGAGCTCCCTTCCAACCCCTGCCTTCTGTGATTGATTCCACCCCCCCTCTCTGTGCAGGGTGGACACATGGGGCTCCCTCCTCCTCCTCCCACTGCTCGCGCCAAGATGTAGCGAAACCAGTGGACAAGTGACCACAGACAAATGGGATTTGGCACTTTGCTGGTGATAACCCCACTCCTGCACTCCTGTGAAGTGCCACAAGGCACTGCCTAAAACCTCAGGCTACTAATTCTGAGTCATGGTATTCCCAGAATTGGACTCCCTAAATAAGGGCCTGATGGGGGGATGGGGCAGGGGGGGACAACCAGGAAGTGCCCTGAGAGCTTGGTAGCTCCATTTCGGTGATAGCACTTGGGCTGCTCAACACTTGAATCAGATAGTTATTTTAAAGCATAAACATGGATTTAGGGGCTTTACTCCAGGTCCACTTCCCTTGGAAGGTTTGATTCTAGCCAGTCAACAAAAAGGAAAGGAAAAAAAAAGAGAGTAAGCCACACTAAGAAAAATCAAGAGTTCAGAAGACTCATCAAAAACTGTTTCAACCTTACAAAGCAAAGTCTTTTGACTCAGGCCTCAAAATCAATTTACCGCATTATTAAAAAAATAGCAGTATAGAAACTACCCTTTTCTCAGTTCAAAGTTTAAGCACATCTAAGAAGACCCTACAGAAACAGTCCTCTTTCTGGCAAGGCACTATCCAGTAGTGTGTGGCACAAACAAAACCACCGCTATCAAAGCCACTGATACAGTGAACATGTGCGTGCACGCTAGCCCACACAGCAACTTTAGCTAGGTACAAAGATTTACAGTTTAATTCACACTGCTCTCCCTTTTAAAAAGTGGGGTAGTTACAAATATTAGCTAAAAAATGGGATCATTTAGTTCTCAGGCATATCTTTACATGCAAGTATTTTAAACAGAATTAAGAATTTACTATTTCTTTCAGTAAATGCCTCTAGTTTCCACAAACCTTTGCAGTTACCTGATAGTTACATTTCATTATTACAAAACTGGTTTAAAAAATTCCAGACCATCTTGTGTAACAAACTAGAACTCTGCTTGCTTTAATTACAAAAATAAGGCTATCGCACAACAGACCAAATTCACATCCAGCAATATATACACCTTTTTTTTTTTTTTTAAACTAGCCAGTTAAAATTCAAAAGCACATATTCTAAGGGACGTACACCGCCAATCCATGCAAGCAAGCAGGATGTCTTTGGAGCTAGTGTTGTCCTCCATACAACTGATTATGCCCACATGCGTGCTCTGAAATAAGCTAGGTCTACCTACCGGCTGTAACAGGACTAGGTCTCCACCGAACAGGAGGCTTCTATTCTACAATTATCAAAATTCAAGAGGAGTTTTGTGAAACTAATATAATCCCTGGAGAAATCAGTGTGGTTTTGCCTTTCACATCAGCAAGCCTGGGATTCACCCAGGATTACTCATGTGTATATACTTACACACTTATGTTAAGTGTTTCAAAACTGGGACTTCAGGCAGTTCTCAAAGTTTACAACATATCAAGTACATGATAAATCCAGGATGGCTTCTCTGTAATCAACTGTGTAATTATGCAAATTTATATCTGTATTCATTTGCAAAGTTATACATTTTTCTTTAACTTGTTTTTAGGAATAGTTACATTGAACTCGGTGAAGTTGACAGCTCCACCTCCCTATAGTGAGGTTCAAGTCTCACGGAACTATGGGATTGGTGACAAGAATGTCACAGTAACTTACCACAGACAACATAATTCTTAAAAATGCACATCCATATATGTATATCCATATATGTATATGCATTTTATCGACTTCCATTCAGGATCCCTCTAGAGAAGGTGCTGTGGCTAAGATTTCAACCAGTAAATACAACCACGGATTTGAAATCTGTGTGTGCTCTTGCTCCATCTAGTCCTTTAACTGAGCTGAGGAGGCACCAGAGATTCCAAAGAGAAACTGATTTATGGATGGACTCTTTTAACATCTCCTTTTTTAAAGCTTTCTTGCCTCTCTTGCCTTTGTACTAGAGGGAAAAGCCACACAGCTGTAAGCAAAAAGTAACCTGTTCTTTGCTCCAACAATTATTCATGTCATACCTCTGTAGTCACGAGTAAGCTATTGTCCAAAATCTGAGAGGCTACAGTTCTCATATTGTTCAGTGTTTTCAGCAGGGACTTGGGATGACGACTAGCGTGCCCCCTCAGCAAATCTGTGAACAACACCTGAACCTGGTTCAGCGGTTGGCAACAGCTGGCAGAGCTTCAGTCCAGTGGCATCTCAATAGCCATGAGGACTGGGATAACAGAAAACTTGTGAAGTTTGGAAAGGACTAGCAGAAAGTTCTGCCCTTGGATGCGGCGACACGTCAGTATGGGCTGGGGAGTGACTGACAGTAATACCCCTGCTGAAGGGACCTGGGGATTTTAGTGAATGCCAGGTTGATCGTAAGCCAGCAATGTACTCACTGCACACAGGGGAAAGCAGGCAGTGCACTACTTCAGGGGAAGCGTGGCCTGCAGGCTGAGGAAAGTTATTACCCCCCTTACTCTGTACCAGTGAGGCCACATCCAAAATACTGGTTTGGGACTTTCTCCCAGTTCAAGAGGGATGTGAACAAACTGGAAAGAGTAACGCTCCACCAAAGCAAAGCAGCCAGGGGCCTAAAGCACACAGCCTGTGAAGAGAGGTGGCGGAAGCCAGGTTTGTTTAGTCTGGTAAGAAGGAGGCTAAGAGGTGATCTAATGGTAGCCTACAACTATCTCGAGGGCAGTTACAAAAAGGACGGTGCCAATCTCTTCCTGTGAGTGCCAGAAAACATAGCAAAGGCAAAAGCCACAAATTACAGCCTAGGAGTTGAGACTGGACATTGAAAGAAAGTTTTCACTAGGAGAGTGCTGCAGCACTGGCACAGGTTACCTAGAGGGTTATGAGATCTTCATCTTTGGGTATTTTTAACACTCTACTAGACAAACCCATATCTGGTCTGAGCTAGTGTTTGTGTGAGCCCTGATTTTGACAGTGCTGGACGAGATGACCTCCAGTTGTCCCTTCCAACTAACATGTCTCAGATGCCATGGTTACTGATTTTAACAGAACATGTAATCTGTTGCACAGTGTTGCTTTTTGACACTTTTTACAAGTTTGGCTTCCTTCAAGCCACACAGTCTGAGGGATGCTGTGATTGCAAAGAAGGTTTCCCACATAATGGTTGTCCTTCATTTACCCAAAGGCATAAGGACATTTATTGGAATGGCACTACCCTGTCATTATGAACTCACTTGAGTAAAAGCTACATTACAGCATAGCTGTTATTTTCATAGCCAGACTTGATTCAAAATGTATAATGCAATTTGACTTCTGTCTCAAATGCCTTTTGTAATGGTTATTGGCAAGTCACAAGCCTAAGTTCTGCTATGGGCATCAGTGCAGTCCCACTGGAACAACCTCCACTTCCTGTACATGGCTCCTGTTCCTCAGCTGTGCTGACCATTGTGGCCTCATCCAGCAAAGCACAGGTTCAGATTTCTCACTATCTTTGAGGCACCTCCACATTTCCACACCTGGGGATATAACCAGGACAACAGCTGGGCGAGTTAGGTGTGCTCTTGGACCATGGTAGTGTGTTTAACCACCTATGGGACTGAGCCCTGGCTCTCAAAGCATCCCCCTGACTTTCATGTGGCTAATGGTGGTGCTGTGTGTTATTGAAGGTAAACTCAAGGTTTTGGCAAAATTTTTAAGACCGTAAGACTATAGAGCTCCAACTTTGGGTATTAAGTCTTTCTCAGTTAAGAGATAACAGTATTATCATCAACTATGAGACCTCCTCTTCTGAACTACCCAGTATTTTCCACCAAGGGTTTTCCTGCACATTTCACCTGCCTTTGGAACAGGAACCATGTCAAAATATTTCACTTTGGCACCTCCTCCATGATAACAACTGTTTTTAAACAGCCAGTTGCAATGGGCATCATTAGACAAATCAAGTTTTCCTGAACAAGGTTAGCAGCCCACGTCTCTTACAATAAACATGATCTAGCATAAACATCACAATAAATAAATGTAGACTCCAATTATGGCAGTTATTGGCTTAGACTGAGATCTTAAGATTGATGATTTATACCTTCTGGGTCACAGCCAGCACAAACAATCTAATAATCACCAGCACTTTAACTATCATGATGAGCTAATTTCAACTACAGTAACTGGAAGAATTAAAAAGGGTAAGGAATCTGACTACAGAAGTATATCCACGAACAACAGAAGCCCTACACTTCCACTCCTCATTCTCAAACAGACTGTCTGTTAGAATACCAGTGCCAGCTGCAAAAGTAATCCAAAGACAAAAGTGAAACATCAAGTATTTTTAAAAAGAAAGATGAGTAGCCTGGCCTTAATCCTGTTTCATATACATGTTATTAACTCCGCATTATTGGAGAGCACCATCCCATGGCAAGCAGACTACTACTAATGGTGCATGTTTGCTCTATCACAGTGATCCATTAGGGAAGCTGTTGTGTGCTGAAGAACAGGGTCATTCATCCAGGAGATGTGCATGTCGATACTTCAGATAGGCTTTCTAGGGTTCCGACTCCTATTCAAAAGAAAAGAAAAAAAAAGATGATTAATGCTATGAATAAATTCTCGTCTCCCATGTCTGTAACCTTTGCATATAAGGTGTCCCTAACCCTGGTCTACACAGCAGCTGAAGATGCATCACCTCTGAGGCACTACCAGGCTGAAGCAGTGATCTGGCCAAGTTTATAGAGACACTCCTCCAGGCCTACAACAGGTTATTTCCCAGGAAGAGAGCTGCATAGAAACTGCTACTTCTGATTGCTGTAGGACATAATCTTTTTCCTAGGACTAGTTCTTTGAGCTATGAAGCTTGAAGCAGAGCTGCCAAAATAACCTGCTTTTCTGGTTCCCTGCTGAGGTTCCCTCCCACTCCTCTTCCTCATGGGGTCTAGAAATAAATGAATGCCTGGCAGAAGAGGAACTATCAATAGCCAAGAGCTACCATCCAGGCCTGAAACAGTACTACTACCAAACACAGCTGTATCTACAGGGCCCAAGGGAAGAAAAATCCTCTCCTATGCGTCTGACGTACTGCTCAAAAGTGCACCATACAGTCTTTTTGAAGTGTCCAGGCTTTCATATGGCAATAAAATCTCCTCTATTATACTGCCCTCAACAGAAAGATGTTAAGTGGCTTTGTGTTCTGACCTGTATATATGTATTTGTTAAAATGTAATTCTTATTCAAAAAGTTGCTATAACTCCTGACTGTTCCAGCATTCAGCATTCAAAAAAAAAAAAAAAGCCTAATAAAAAAATAAATGCTGTCCTAGATGACCCATTATGTCAGACTGGCCCAGTAAGATGATGTTTTGGTGACGTAAACTGCAGATATTCCAGTGATTAAGATCCTAGTTCTGTCTCCTGTTATAATTAAGTCAGTTGCTTTCAATTTACATTGATAATGTGGAGAATGTATTCTTTAAACTTCATTTATCTGCTGTCTCAAATTAACTCCCATGTATATGCTTGGTTTCATTTAAAATGCTTTGCTTCTCATGGCAACAGTTTCAATTACCTTATTAGCATGAACCTGATATGGACAAGGTTATGGATTAAGGCAGTGGGGCATGCAAACACACAGAGTTCTTTTGGTTCGAAGAAAATTAAATCTCAGTATTTCAAGAATTCCATGAAAAGTCTGCAATACTACACTAACCTTTGTTGCCAAAGTAGGTTTGAGTCCAAGAAAGGAGAAGACAGTGTTGCTCTCCTTTGATTCAAAAAAGCCATCATAATCCTAGAGAGAGAGAAAAAAAAAAAGATGAGTCAACATTGGTATTCATGCTTTCCCGATTGATCTTACCACACCATGTATTAGACTAAATACCTAATAATGCTCAAGAAAATACTGATAGTTACCCATGTTCTCCTATGCAAACCTAAATTATTCTAAACTGCAATAATATCACCAACTACAGTGGCAAAGAAAAACACATAAATTCTCTAACTACAACACCTTTCACTACGTTATTTGACAGGAAAATACAAACACTGACTTGTGTTCAAAGGAAATCTATTGTGAGTATATTTTAAAGATATTTAACTGCCTAACAATGCAAGTAAAATTCTGACAGGGTTTCCAATTTGTATTTTAGCAAACAAAATACTTCCTAAAATGGAAACCTCCAAGAAGTCCTAAGGCAGCTGAACTCTTTATTTCTTCTATGTTGGAACAGAGACTTCGTCATCATTGTATCCTTTGAAATCAGCAATCATATCTCAGCCTTGGACAGCCACATAGTTAAATATTAAATGTTACCATTAAGAAACTTGTTGTCTAGAAAGATAAAAAATAAGCTTCATTATCAGTTCCTTTTAGGTTTCAGCTGCTTAAGATCAGGTTCTGATTGCAAAGTGTGACTACTGATTTGTTTATTGCATTGTACACCTGGTACTCTTCTATCATTAGATAAGCTGACAATATTCAGGGAAAAACAGAAAAGCAGAGCACAGTTCAGTGAATGGGTTTGGCATATGGCAAGAAGCCAGGAAGTTTCAGGTTCTCTTGGTGGTCTGGCAAAGATTTCCTCTATGACTGCTAGCAAACAGTACAGCACCTGGTTCAGACTTTTCCTCCTCCACGCAACTGCAAAATGGAAATATTAATCCTTACTTAACCACTTCTGACATGTAAAATACTCTGAAAATTACAGGATATTTCAGGTATGTGCTCATCACTATACAGCAATTATCTCTAATATCTAAGGTTAGTAGTTACACTTAACTTGAAAGCATTCAACAAGAGAAATCCCTCTAAATATTGACCATGCACACACATGCTTTCAATACAGAATAGTAACAGCCAGTCTCCGTGCCTCCACATGCTTCCCTTCTGCGTAACAGTCATTCCCAAAGCACCTGACCCCCAAAGTTAGCGCTTCTTTGGCTCCTATCTCTAATCTCATTACTTTTTGAGAGCTCATCTCTCATTGTTACAGTTTCAGGTGCTTTCCCTGACCTCAATTTTTCCAGAGCAGCAGCTGCGTTGCCTACTTGTCTCCTTCCACTCCTGCCTTCTTTTGAACCTGTAACCTCACAAACCACCCCCGTACAATCACAGGGGGCCATATAAGATAAACAGGAGAAGCTGTAACTGAAAAGCAGAAATCCTTCTCTGACCTGGCTGTTCTTGGAAGGCTGTCACAGGATATGCAAAGACTAGGAACCTTCTGTTATCTTCCACCCAGATTGCCTAGCCAATATCCACTTGTGCTTACATTTTGGCCTCTCAGATCCCAAGCAGGAAGCAAAAATGGTCTGGGCAAGCATTCTGCTTCCCAGTATTTCTCTGGGTCTTCACAATGTGATGTGAATCCCTGAACAGCCCTTCATCCCACCTGCCAGACCCAATTATAAGATATAACAAATTATATCCTTGCAGAGGATGGTTGGTATTTTGTAAAATAACTTTGTAATGAAAGTGAGTGCTTGTAGATGAAGACTTTACTTCTCTTCATTCTCTTTTTTTCTCTCCACCAACCTAAAATAAGACTGTTCAGACAGAAAATACATAGTCACCATTGCAGGGATAATATACCTCCCACGAGATCCATAATCATTCTGCAGATGTGCAGAATTTCTCTTGAAACCTTTACAATGCAGTAGACAAAGATGCTTTACCAGCATTTCCATAATGATATACCGCTATACAAATGTGAACACAACTGTCCTAGCAAAGTGATACTTTGCAGTTGCATAATCATTCAAATAACCTCAGCCCAGAAAAAAAACATAGCTGCACAGAGGCAGTTTCCCAGCCTAACCCTCTATGCTAACAGCATCTGCCCTGAAAGACATAGAGAGGCCATCAGGAGTGCATGATGGTTGTTAGGCATCAGATATATTAGCTGACATAAGTAGAAGGAGTAAACCTTCTTCTTAAGATGGCTTTCTGTCGTCGTCTTCATAAAAGACGGCATATTGCTGTGCTATAGACTCGGGCAGTAAATCAGTATTCCAGGACTAAGTTTTATGTCTACTAATCCTTTCAGCTTTTATACACATGTATATATAGAATCATAGAATCGTTTAGGTTGGAAAAGAACTCCAAGATCATCAAGTCCAACCGTTAACCTAACCCTGCCATCCTACCACTAAACCATGTCCCTAAGCACCTCGTCTGCCCGTCTCTTAAATACCTCCAGGGATGGGGACTCCACCACTTCCCTGGGCAGCCCATTCCAGTGCCTGACAACCCTTTCGGTGAAGAAATTTTTCCTAATGTCCAACCAAAACCTGCCCTGGAGCAACTTCAGACCATTTCCCCGTGTCCTATCGCCCGTTACCAGGGAGAAGAGGCCGACCCCCACTTGGCTACAGCCTCCTGTCAGGCAGTTGGATGGGGCGGTCCGGTCTCCCCTCAGCCTCCTCTTCTCCCGGCTGAACAACCCCAGTTCCCTCAGCCGCTCCTCACAAGACTTGTGCTCCAAACCCCTCACCAGCTTCATTGCCCTTCTCTGGATGCACTCCAGTGCCTCAATGTCCTTCTTGTAGTGAGGAGCCCAAAACTGAACAAAGTATTTGAGGTGCGGCCTCACCAGTGCCAAGTACAAGAGAAAGCGAGAGCACACACATTTCTTCTATCTAGTTTTCAGTTCCGTGGTTTTCTCTATGCCCGATATGTAATTTCCAATTAATACAATCTACTCATTTTACTCTATGGGAAGAGTCAAGTTTATTTGCTTTCATTGCCATGGGAATGAAACACCTCAAAGAATAAAGCAGTTCTGGAGCAAAGAAAGGTGGAATCTCCCACAATGATCAGCATCACAGACTGGAAAACAGACTTTGCAGACAGATGCTGCTTATCATTATGAGGGCAGAACTACTACCATTACTTTTTAAAATGCTAACACATGATGATATTAGACACAGTTTTAAGTTCCCTTACAGTTAATTTTAGGTATAGTCTGTTCTATAGTCTGTACCTAGGCTTGAAATTAAACATATAATTAAAAAGAGGAAATAGACACATTTACATCAATTAAAAAATCATTAAAGGTGATGAACTGATGTTAATTTCTGATGTAATGTAAATTCACAATTAATAGCCAGAAAGTAAATCCAAATAAAATAGACAGATCTCACAACTAACCCATGGCATAAGCTGAAGCAGTACTGAAAGCAACCCCAAAATCATGGTTGTAAAAAGAGGATAATGTAATCGTTGAACATCTAGAGGAGTAATAAGCGATACTGAAGCTCTCCAGAAGGACGTTTGATTAAGCCTTTGACTTGAAAAACTGTGTGGAGGCTGTTAAACCCAAAAAAGGTCCAGCCTGACTCTGCTAAAGCAGATGAAAAGCCATGAGGAACATGAGCTAAGACAGCACCCGATCTAATAGAGAAATAACCTTAATTTTCTCCACTGGGTTCATCTACAAGTGAGTCACACTGTCCCTGGAGCTGAAGGTAGGGGAGCAGCGGGTGAGTACAACCCACAGTGAGAAGAACAAGGGCACCCCTTTAATATCAGGGCAGGCTTAAATTGCCTTAAGCTGCTCATTACAGCCCTGTAAATGACAAGCAGCCAACCTGCAGGCAGGCAGCTATTCTGAGTATTTCTGCAGCAGCATGTCATCATTTTCACTCCCTGCCAAGAGCACCCCTTCCTCCTAAGCGCACAGGCAGTTTTCATGAACCCCCAGACACCCGTTTGTCTCAACCATTTGTCCAAGAAAAGGCACTCTGTTCGGCAGGGTCATCATCTCTCATCACCATTTTCAAGTTCTGGGGTTCTCCTGAAGTGTCTTAATCCCAGTACTTCAATTAGCTCTCAAACCATACACTGCTCTTAGACCATTTTTTTTTCACTCTTTATTAATAAATTGGAATGAAAAACAGGCTAGGGAAGGATTCATAGCCTGAAAATAACATTATAAGAAATAAGGCTGCATTCCTGGCTCTGACAGTGACTTTGTGACTCAGCTAATCCACCAATATCTGTGAACATCTGTTTACCTTAATGTCTGTAAAGTAATTTACGACTTAATCATAAAAAGCTTCGTGCAAGTGCTAGTTACCAATTTTTACTTGCAGAAGTACCCAGGCCTGATTTAGTATGTTTTCTCCACATTTTTACAGATTATCAAACCTGGATTCACTTACTGAAAATATTGTGAAGGTTAAACAACAAGCTAAACAGAGTAAGTGTGTGTTTGAAAGAGCAAAAAACCCAGTGGATTGATTCGTTTTAAAAGAAGCAGAATATTTAATAACCACAAGAGATTATCCACCAGAAGCAAGCTCCCCAATGCTTTGAAATATCTGCATTGCAAAACATATTGAAATGGTATTGACAATTTCCTGCTTTCATGAGGGTAGAAGCATCATGCTTGTAGATAAAGTAGCAGTAAAATTTTGAATAGGAGAATTTTCCTACTAAACTCTGCAATGAAAACATATGATCCCAAATCATTAACGTGTGGGAAAAAATGTTATAAAAATGCATAATAGTCCTATAAAAGTTGAAAGAAACCACTTTGGTATGGTAATTTCTTAAGAGATTTTTGAGAAGCATGACCTCAAGGAACACAATCTCAAGGACTCATCAGTTCTGTTTTGGCACGCGGTAGGAGTTCAAAGTGGGCATCCCTGGCTTTCCCTGCAATACAGGCGAGATGTTCCAAAACCATCCTGCCCTTGAGCTTACCTTTTTAAGGAGAGAAAGTCTGTGCAAATTTGGGCCACATGTAAAGACACTAAATTCATCGGTGAGGACATGAAAATTCTTGTCTC